AGGTGTCTTCTTCGTTGTCCGTCCGGGGTTGGCTTTATTCCTTCATCATCAGCTCCATTCCAAGTTCTTCTCTCAAGTCTTTGTCCATGGCTGCTCTGGATCACCAACCGGGAAACTTCTCGTCTTCTCGTCTTTGTACTTGCAGTCATTCAGGGTGGCTTGACTCTCGTCGTTCTGGATATCTCGTCCCTAGCCAATCACAACACTTCGTTGTGGGTCCTTTGTCGCCCGGGGTGCCCATCCAAATTTTCTTCCAGGCGCATCGTGTCACTTCCGTGTTGGTGTCCCGCAGTACAACCAGCTGGTTTTGTAGGATAACTCACACACCGCTTGATTCTTGTTTTCTTGCCAAGTAGCTGCTTCAGTTGATGCCTCTATACAATTTGACGTCATGCTGTCAGGCGCCATCGCCGGTTCGTCGCCCGCATGCTGCAGTCGTCTTATGACGAACTAAGTAGCGAATCGAGACGAAATAGATTTAATGCGTCGTTCGAAATAAGTCAACATACTTGCAAATCGCTCCTTCATCAGTACGTACATCACCATGGAGAGCATGCGCTGACCTCGATTAGGCACGAAGGCGACACGAAGTGCTTTATTCCGCTGATCACTTGTTTCACGTATCTTAGGGCCTGGATTTCAGACAGTAGGCTCTGCAAAGCTGCAACACATTCTATTAACACTGTTATAATAAATAACAAACACTTGTAGAAATGCTTATCATCATGTGGACAAAATGATAAAGTCCATATTGTTGATTGTAATTGAGTCCACGATGAATTCTTGTGCTTGAAACAGGTCAGTATGGTCAAAGCGTTTCCTGTTGCTGGTACAGACACAGGAGTGCAACACAGGAAACCACGATCAGTTTCTACGGTAGCTACCAATCTTCCAGCTATAGACAATTCCACGGATACGTGAATTAGCAGATGAAACTTCCTTCTTTGTTAAAGAAATTGCTCAACTGTAGAAAAGTTGAGCAACTTCAAGACGAACCCTCGCTGGATCCCAAGTTCGGCCAATCCAGAGCAAGCGACCCGCCCCAAAAGGCCGCTGAGTATTCGTCTGGAGTACGATACCTATTGTTTGGTACCGACCGCCTTAAAGATGTCGCTCTTGGTCGTGCATCTGTGACGAACACCAGCATGATCACTTTTCAGTACTCCTCGGCGCTTCAATGTGACCAAGTCAGTCGCTCATCAAGTCGTGTACTTATTAAAAACTTCCTCCGTCCGGTAATATAAGGCATGGATTAGAAAAAAAATCGCTTTAGCGTCAAAAGTGAAATTTATTCGTGCCTGATTGGTCAAAAATAGAAACAAAGCACAGCGTTTCATTTGGTGATTTTCGCGCTCAGTTTGAATGAGTGGTTGACGAGCTACGGTCACCAAAATACGGCCTCATTTCTCATTTTGCTTTTTCCTTCGTAAAAAGACCAGATGATCCCCAACTCCGACGGCGTGCGCAGTAAAAGGAGGAACCCCACGTCAAAAGAGCGTGCTGAAGTCGTAGCAGCTCGACTGCGCTCGAGCGTGGATCTGTAGCCGCCCAAAGCAGAGATCGTGGTCTGTGCAGTCCGTTTTGGCTGTAGTGAGCGCCAGATCACGCGGTTGTGGCAGCGAGTCGCCCAGGATCTTCATGAAGGCAGGCCTATCAACTACGATAGCGGCAGGAAGGGAAGAAGCGGCCACAATTCGAGACTAACGGAGGCTCGAAGGCAGAACCAACATTCGTACTTTAGCTGAATCCCTCGGTATACCTAAGTCTACTCTGCACGACTACTTTCTTTCGGGGGTATTCAGATACCACACAGCATGTTTGAAACCCATGCTAAGTGACGAGCAGAGAATTGCTAGAGTTCGTTTTGCCTCCGGATTTGTCCAGAAGACGGCGATAAATGGCCTGGAGTTTGACAATATATGATGGACTACGTGCACCTGGATGAAAAGTGGTTCTACTTAGCTAAGGACAAGCAACGTTACTAATTAGCTGAGCACAAGGATGATCCCCATTTGACGGTCAAAAGAAAAATTATATTGTTAAAGTGATGTTTCTAGTCGTTGTGGCTCGCCCGCGTTGGGATGCTAGAAACCATCGAGTTTGGGATGGCAAAATGGGCGTGTGGCCTTTTGCTGTCTATGAACCAACCGAGCGCTCCAGCAAGAATTTCCGTTTGCTACGTTGACAGATAGCCGCGGTCTGCTCCCGTGGTCTTTTGCTTGTAGTGATAGAATCTACCAGAAAGCGATAAAGATGCTATGTTCGGGTGGGACGAACCAAACTTAGACTTATATTCTCGGACAACTTAATCTATGGGGCTGGTCTTATATTTTCGGACGGAGGAAGTATATAATAGAAGCCTTGGATATTTAAAAGTTAGCTTCAACAAATCACACACATCCGCATACAAGCGTTCACAGTTGTGAACATCTAATTTCGCCAGGGCGGATCATATAAAATTCCACAGCTCATAAATAAATGGTGCAGATCAGAATATAGTATCCTCGATTATTTGCTTATAGCATAGCCTAATTAAAGTTGCACCTCTGGAGCGTATCAGTGGGATCTGCCGCAAAGGTTATAGTTTTGGCTGTTTGAGTTCCGTTTGACCAAAGGCATACAGCATGACACAGAGCAAACTCACTTAATAAATCCTTGCACTGCATAAGGCCGTGTAAATTGGATCGTTCGTGATGAGATTGTGGAATCTCTCCATAGAATCTCTGACCTTGGACGTTCTCCGACCTGTATCAATACAATGGTACATTCGAATTGTAATCCCAGAAAAAAATAAATATATAATTAAACTGTAGATGCTGTGGGCCACATCTTAAATTTTTCATTTCTAAAAAGAGATTGGCAGAGCGAGGAGGTCGGCAATGAGCAGATGGTGGTGGCAGCAGCGAGCGGGGGCAGTGTGCTGACTGGGGGTGGTGGTGGTGGTGGGGGGGGGGGGGGGAGGTCGTCCGTGGGCCAGCAGGACGGCCGAAAACTAACGAGATGAATCGCAGTATAGTGACTGCTGACTGGGTGCATGCAGATGGGGCGATCCTAGCAGCCATGGTACAGAGCACTTGGCCACTAGGACCCTAGGGCGTAGTTAGCAACTATATTATGTAGTGGGCGATGCAGTACATGATATAATAGCTGACGTATGCTATATAATTCCGCTATAAATGCAGATATCAACGTCATATTGCTCCTGTAACATCTGCTTCTTCTATAAAAGTTGATAGTGTTCGCACTGTGCACCTAGGTGAGAACTACATTCATTACAACTACTCAAGCCACTATGAATCGATATACAATCCGACGGATACAAGCGCGACCAAAGCCAAGCACAAGGGTCGGAGGATTTACTTTATTGCGCCTATCGCTGATAAGAACCGTATGCCACTTGATTCAGATCATTCTGACAATGATTCTTGGGATTTACTGCAGTGCTGGCGATAAATTTGTGCGGACCACTATTTTGCAAATAATTAGATCAATTTGAAACAAAATAAAGCCAAAATTGCGTAAAATTGCTATTTAAACGAAGAGCTATCGGAGCATACAGTTCTTTTGGCGAGGCGGTCCGTGGTTGTAGAGATACAGGAGTGATCATCACTCTGATACTGGCCAGAAGTCTGTGCGCGCTCGAAAAGCTCTGCATTGTGAAGCCCGTACATGCTTTAAAGTCCTCGTAATACTTTGATTTCTTGCCTTTGTCCCCTAGAACGGTACTGACGCGGTCTGGCATCGAATCAATCAGTTTCCGCACTGCTTCCAGCTTAATACGATCCCATGCACGGCGAATAGCAACCTGGAGCTCTTCAACCGACGTGTACTGCTTTCCACCGCAATAAACGTCTCGAACAAACATGCCCCAAACGTTTTTAATAGGATTCAAATCAGGAGTAAGTGGAGCCAGTCTAAAACAGACACATTAAGCTCCTTCAAGAACGACCTTGTACCCTTTGACGAGTGTATGCTGGCGTTGTCTTGCTGGAAGATGTAGCTGCCTTCATGCATGCCTTCACCAATGGGCAGCAAGTAGCTAGTAAGCGTCTCCTCTTAGTCTAAGGAGTTTTGGCGCCCAGATAGAAACGCTATATCGGTCGTACCCTTCAACCAGAATCCACCCCACCACCATTCATCGACACCGCTGTATACAGCGTTCGACATCCAGCATAGCAGGATACCCTGTAACGCCACAAGTGATGACAGACTTCGTGTCCAACCAATGCAGCTAAAGACTACCGGTACCATGTAGACTAGCTGCATGTAGTACTTCGATGTAGGACCTCACTTTGCTATTTACTCAGCAATACAATAACGGCTAACTACCATGGAGCACCGCCGGCTCCCTTCTTCGTGTCTTCGCTTCCTGACGAACACCACAGTTCCAATCGGTCCGTGTGTGGATCGTGGCCTTTGCCCACTTTTGGCGAGCTAGCTTATGACTTGCCTTCAGCATAGAAGTACGTGTGCGTTTCACGGAGCTCATGAAGGGAGCGTTTTGAAGTACACGTCGCACAGTACTTGCCGATACATTCAATACTAGAGCCGCTTTCACTCCTCTCGACGATCCTCCACCCCTTATTGCCCGACCGTCCCAGATGCTTGCCAATCGCAACAAACGTCCATCCAGCCTCTCGAAGGCCAAGGATTGTCCCCTTTTCGACGCCAGTATACACGGTGCCTTTGCGCATGTCTTACTGGTCTCGTAGTAAATGTTAAACTGTCAGACGTATTGCCAACGACAGCTGAGACGCTGGAGTATATTTTAAAGGTATTGCAAGCTTCTAGAACGCACTAGAACAAGAGTATTGGCGGGAAATTTGCGCGCGCACAGACTTCTGGCCAGTGTCAGAGTGATGATCACTCCTATATCTCTACAACCACGGACCGCCTCGCCAAAAGAACTGTATGCTCCGATAGCTCTTCGTTTAAATAGCAATTTTACGCAATTTTGGCTTTATTTTGTTTCAAATTGATCTAATTATTTGCAAAATAGTGGTCCGCACAAATTTATGGCCAGCACTGCACGGGAGACCCTATACATATTTGAAGGAGGCAAACAAATTAAAGATTACCTCGGAATTCTCAACCACAGCTATTTCTACAATGGGATGGACATTTTGTTAACGTATGGTGCAAACCCTTAAAAATATCTCCAGATCATATGACGATGGCGTTTTATTTATTTGGGAACAATGGTCGAGGGCACGTTTTATACTTTAGGACTTGACTACTTGGTTTTGGGTTATCTTGTCAAGCTTAAGCGGACTTGTGTTCTGAGTTTCAGAATGTGCCTCATCTAAGGCCTGGGGAGTTCTTAAACCGCCTGGGTTTATTCCTGGGTATGAGGTTCGATTCTTACTATGCGATCAAAATATCGCCCTTATGGGGTCAAGGCTCTAGGTTCTCTTCGGAAAATCGCTTGCGGTCACAGTTTGATAGACCTTTCCAAATTTTTCAAACTTAGATCCAGCATTGTCTTAGCAGCCACCTTTCCTTTCTCGTCGTCGGAGATACTGTTGCACTCATAGTCCTACGCAAGAAAGTAGACGATTTGGTAAGGGATGGTTCGAAGATTTGGTGTACCAACTGTGTCGCTTTCTCTACGGCGACAGTGGATTCCACGCCAGATTCAAATTACCGGATCAATCAGTAACATTTATAAGTATTGTTTCTCTGTTTATAGCAAACATATATTCGCCATTAAGTTTCGACATACACAAACCACAACACGACTGAAACCACTTATCTGGCTTCTTCGGCGCAAGTTGAGTTTAACTACACAAACAAGTGCACACAGAATCAATCTTTTCACAGAGGCGAATATCAGCTCTAGACATATTACCACATATATATTGGAAATAGTGGCTACGTTTTGCATACCGGCGGATGTTCATACTTATTTACAAATTTGAATTCATCATGTCATAACGTAACCCCGCGAAAAAAACAACAACAAATATTTGGGTACCGGATTTCCAGTGAAGACTGAAACAAAGGTCCTCTAAAACCTTTCTGAAGCGATTTGCCGAGATCGATGACAACAGCATACTACTAAATCAGAATCAATGCCACATTAGTAGGATTCTAGGAGTACAGACATTCGAACAGATGGCGTGTCTTTCGAGTTGGGCGGATACACTTATCCTTGATTGACCCGCGGCACTAACTAACGCGGTCAGGTACCGATTACTTTGTCATATTCATAGTTTTGCGAAGAAGTTAAATATTATCTAATTCCTCAAAACAATTTACTATCCTTTCAGGTGGTGTGCTACTCAATAGTCCAACGGACCCCGGTGTGCCAGTTTTGATTAGGTATATGTGGATCAAACATTCTTGGCGATGACGCGCGTGTTTGACTTTATAAATTGAATAATCCAACTTGAGATGCAGCTGAAACGTTTGTCATCACAAGGACTTTACTGAGTGAAGCGGTCCTCATAAGTGTTGTCCAGCATCTACTGAATTGCTGTGCCATTTCACACCATTCAGTGGTGCAAAAACGTGGCTCGTGGTACACCATCTACCACGGTGTTTTCAGTGCGAGAAAAATCTGTTCAATATGCATTTCAAGAATATGAATATGTACGCCTTTGTTAGTTTTGATTGTTGTGTCATGCATTTCAAAACTGAATCTATATATTTTACTAGGATAAAGTATCCAGCCCAACAAAGCTATAAAATGAAGACTGCTATCCTTACGCGAGTACTGCATTAGGAGATGACTAAGTGTTTGCGGGTTTTTCTTTTTATGTGTAATTGGCATACTTACCGTGCACGCGAAATGAGCATGTTACCGTTAGGAATCTTACAAAAAGTCGGATTGGGAGCAACAAGAATAAGTTAAAACTACTACCCAAAATAACAATACAGTCGTTACGCTGGAATGGAATTTACGAGTCCAGCAGATGTTATTTGCTCAGGTGAAGTTGGGAATACAAAACAAATGGCGACATCGAGCCATACTGAGTATGCTCCGGGGGAGTTGAGTCGGATTTGGGGGATAGCACTATTGGGAAGCTAACTGCACGAATAGGGAAAAATATATCTCTACTAAGATTATGCGACATTTGATCGGCATGCTGATATCTTGGCTTGGAACATTTGATTTTGAGGACCTCGTTTCTCTGAGCTGATAAAACGTGAACCTGCTCGTGGCCAGGTATCACAACCACAGATTGCATTGTCGGTATATACATGTTTAACATGTCAGAGGGGACTTAAATTTCATTCTTTGCTATATACTGTGGACGAACCAGGTTGGAACATGTACTATGTTGTTCAGAATGGTGACATAAAAAGAAATGATGATCAACCGGTATATATTAATTTGCAGCTCGTTAACTTATCTAGTCGTAACCCATAAGCAAACAGAGTGAAGAGAGGACACGCGGTCTACTATTTTGGATTTCGACAAGCGGGTCACGTTTGCTAAACCTCGCAGCGGAAAGGCTGATCGTCTAGTTTTGTCCTCGCATACACAAGTTTTAATCGTTAAAAGTGTTTTCGACCCTGTATACAAATATTTGTCTGCTTTAGGCAGAGTGCGATTTTATGATAAACGTGAACGTTGGTGTGAGTTAGTAAATGTAAAATTAAAAGTTTGCGGAGAGCTAGTTGCTTCGAATGATGATACTAAGGCGGTGAGAGTAGGTTAGATTCACTCAAAATGCTTTGGTAAGCAAGTTCTTCGAAAGTTACTGATACTATGACGGAGATGTCAGAAATGAAAAAAAAATCCAATGATATCGATTTTGTTCTGGATACGTATTAGTGTACATACAGAGTCAACGGGTGATAGACCTCCGTTGAATGTGGATTGACCGTCGAACGTTCCATGCGTGGTGTACAGATACCCCACCGATAATTTAAGTCAATTAACGTGGACCTCAACTCAAACATGTGAAGTATCACTTTTAAAAGAGACATACAGTGACCAAGATATCACATACGAAGTGCATCCTGCATCGAAAAGGGTATTTCCGCGAACAATCGCCTACAAAACATTGATCGACCACGCGCTCCAAAACACGGCCGAGCAAACACTTGTCATTAATCGGACGTAGGTTCACGTTGGCTTCACTTTGGGCTGACATCCGATACGTAGACCCTTTCGAATCTGAGCCCCCACTTGTTAACAAACGCTGTACTGTACGAAGGGCAGTTGCAGTCACCGTGCAATCAGTGAGATCAACAACATAAAATACTTTGTTGTATCAAATGATGTATGACGTCTTTAGCCACTGTACGTTGTCGTGCTGAGCTGCGAAGTCCGGTGAATTCACGTATAAAGCGCTCTAAAGCGACGGCCAATCCAGTGGGGCTGCTCTAGCTAAGGGTTAGAGGAAGTCATACGACTCAAAGAGTCCTTAAAATATAGTTCATATCCGAAGGAAGCATACAGCCCAAGCACCAGGGCTCAAAGTTATTAAGAACACTAATACCGTTTATGCTTCAAAACCACAAGTGTTTTATTTTTTTATTACGACCAAGCCGCTATCTATGTTTAACTATCTAGCAGTCTACATTGTGGACACAGGCTCCGATTCTTCACGTGTACGTACTTTTACGTTCATTACTTCAAGATTTTAACTATGCTACGTCAGACCTTTGTAAGCACGATGTACTAAGGACTTAGTGAGAATGTCTATTCAACCCATCTTTGTCACGTGAAACAAATTTGTAATGTCACCAATGGAGAATGGAGAATTTGTGATGTCACCCCAGGAAAATCTGTCATGTGTCTGTTAATTGGCCTCAGCCTAATTTTCCATGTATTCCTCACTCTCTTCTTCACTCTCTTCCTTACCTTCATCTTCACTCTCGTTTTTCACTCTCATTCTTCACTATCCTTGTCGTTGTCCTCTTCGCTGTCCATCGCATTGTCCTCCTCGCTCTCGTCATTGCGAATGCCTTTCCTGCTACTGGGCATGTCAACATCATCTACGCTTAATACTTTGGGGTTAAGCTGGCATTGATGCACAAGCAATGAATAGGGCGTGTTGTACGTCCTCGCACAATACGGACACTTATTAATTTCAGCCAATCAAGCAATTACGTCGATGGACAGACAATTCTAGATGCGAAAATAGACGCTCACCGCATTTGTTGCACATGTAGGAATTGTATACGACGCCTTTCATTGAGTTGCTCCGGTACTTTACTCCTCTCACCCCCAACGTAACAGCGCAAGTTAATATTGATATCCAAGTACTTGGCGCCAGCGTGAACGAGATCTCCACGAAATAATAATGGCGAATTGTCTTCATTTTAGATATCTCTACAGTCGACCCGAAGCACCCTGGGTACACATGTAGAAGCGTTCCATCCATCAACGGCACAACCGCTGGTGCAGGAACCATGCCTTTCTTCAATTGAGCATTTGCACAGTCTCTAATATGGGAAAATCTTCGTGAACCGCCTGGTCTTTATCACCGAGGATCAATTTTAGTGCGTGCCAAGAGTCACCACCAATCTTCTACTGCAGAGCAGTAGCTATAATTAATTTGCTGGTGTGCGCCACGATTCACGCAGTGTGCCAGTATCGGCCTGCACACGATACTTATTCTGCCTTTTTGCGTAACCTTCTGGGAATATCGAATAGTAGGTAAGTGACTGGATCTCTTCAATAGCTTTCTTACAGATGTTGACAGCCAAGCCAGTATCACCAACGACATAACCGTCGTTACAAAATCTGGCTTTTCAAACATATTAGAAAAATTAATACCTTCTGGGTTATAGAGTTTAGGCGGCAGGCGCTGCTTCAAATACAGTGCGGCTTCTCTTAGACCCTCGAGCAGCGGGGGTGTCACGTGCGGGAAGGTTAGGATCCAGGCATTCACGCGCCGCCTCGGTTCCTCCTCCTTCTTGCAGGTGTTTGGCCACTGACTCCT